CAGAAATTTGGGGGTGGAGGCAAGATAGGGGCGTGATTCTTTTGGTGATTTTAAATATCAACAGCATTTCTCAGAAATCGCTTACTGCCCCTTTAAACTCTGACTGATTGATTGATTCTTGAAATCATGTCTTGTTGCCGTTACTTCAACAAGTTCTGCATGCATATGTTTCTCGGGAAATTAAAAGTGCGGCTCTTGTTTGTTACTGACAACCCTTTCAAACCTCGTCTGTACAGACTTGATAAATCTGGATCTGTATGTGGCATTTCAGGTTTCTTTGCAGAATGGCTATTTTCTTCCCCGTTTGACTGGCAAATGAGTTTCCTCTTAACACACAAGGCTTCTCAGCCACACACACACACACACACACACACTCCACCCAGAAACAAACCCGACATCGACAGCAGAGACTCTTCATTCTGACGTTAAGACTGCAGACTTTTCCTCAGTTAGCAGGGCTGTGAGGCACAGAAGACAGAAAGGTGATTATAAACCATACACCATTCAGAACAGACTCAGCGTGAGCTCTGAGGTTATTAAGCGTTGTCATATGCTTCCGTCAAAGAGATTTCAACCACAGTGTTTAATATTGCTGAAGGACTACACTACCCATAATCCCACGGGGAGCAACCAAAGGTCAATCGCAGAAGTTCAGCAGTGATCTTCAAATGAGCTTCCATACACATACAAGTCTACTTAAATTTATGGACGTATCAATAATTTGCAATAAATGTCAAATATATTGTTTTTACTGATAATTATTGACTGCAAGTCGACAGGTTTTTGTACTGTTGTTTTTTTATTTGAAGTCATCTGTAGGTCTTCATCTACTTATATATGTGGATATATCAATAATTTGCAATAAATGTCAAATATTCTGTTTTTACTCATAATCAGCGACTGTAAGTCAGTAGGTTTATTTTGTGCACGCTTTAAAAATACAATGCCATAGAAGAACCTTTTTTGTCTAAATGGTTACATAAAGGACTTTTAACATCTGAAGAACCTTTCTGTTTCACAAAAGCTTCTTTGTGGCAAAAGAAGGTTCTTCAGATTATACAAAGGTAAGAAAGAGATGGTTCTTTGACTGAATGGTTCTTTGTGGAACCAAAAATAGTTCTTCTATGGCATTGCACCTTTATTTTTAAGCGCGTAGCCTACTTTCTATAGACTTTAGTCAGGGTAGCATCATATTTAACTTCTGACAGGAATCAAAAAGGCTAAAGTAAAGTGCATTCAATCATTGTAATGTTGTTTTGTGAGTTGTGAACGTTTCCTCGTTTTCATCTGTGCTTCATCTAAAGTCTATAGAACTGTTTATCAAAAGCTCTGGGCATTTTTATTATTATTTTAATGGTTTAGCTAAAATCACACTCTATCGCTGGTCAATCGACTGAGTCTGGATAAACTCACAGATAACAATCCTCTGTGTGCGCCGGCCTCGAGTGCATCACACACACCCAGAGAAAAGAATCCTGTGTGTGTGCGTGTGTGTGTATTTGCCTGCCTCGCAGGCATACATTCTCTTTTCACTACATTAGTCAGCGTGTGTTCGCATGTTATGATAGAAACGTCTCTCTCTGGTCTAACCAGTAAGAACATGAGCATGAATTCCACAGCTCCACAACATGTGACGTCTCAACTCTGCAGTGTTTGCAAGGCTTAAATCTGCTGCTTGGAGCGATTTTTAGTCATTTTTGTTCTTCGGTTTTTTAAAAAGTAAAAGGGGTTCCTAGCTAACAAGGAACATTCTCAGAATGTTACGAAGTTATGAACAAACGTTCTTTCAGTAACACTAATAGAATGTTCGTTTAAGGCAGACAGGAGGTCGAGCAGCTGGCTGTCTGGTGCAGTCTCAACAACTTAGAGCTCAACACGCTAAAAACTGTGGAGATGACCGTGGACCTCAGGAGAAACCCCCCTACCCTCCCCCCCCTCACCATCATGGACAGCACTGTGACTGCAGTGGAGTCATTCAGGTTCCTGGGCACCACAATCTCTCAGGACCTGAAGTGGGACACTCACATAGACTCCATTGTGAAAAAGGCCCAGCAGAGGTTGTACTTCCTTCGCCAGCTGAGGAAGTTCAACCTGCCACAGGAGCTGCTGAAACAGTTCTACTCCGCCATCATTGAATCCGTCCTCTGCACTTCAATAACTGTCTGGTTCAGCTCAGCTACCAAACTCAGAAGACTACAGAGGGTAGTCCGGACTGCTGAGCGAATCATTGGTACAACCCTCCCTTCTCTCCAAGAACTGTACTCGTCCAGAGTGAGCAAAAGGGCTGGCAGAATCACTCTGGATCCCTCACATCCAGCACACTCCCTCTTTGAACTGTTGCCATCTGGTCAACGCTACAGAGCTCTGAGCACCAGAACGACCAGACACAGGAACAGTTTCTTCCCTCAGGCCATCCATCTCATGAACACTTAACAATAACTGTGGAACACACACTATTTATTCACTCATACACTTATTTATCTAACACACACACTCAGTCTACATTTCAATTTGCACATAATATATCTGTACATACAACTGTCTATTGTTATATACCTGTACATACAATTGTCGATTTATATATTTTTATTCCTTAGTTACTTGTTCTATTTTTTATTATCTGTGTTTTTGTTCTGTCACTGTCATTCTGTTACACTGTGGAAGCTTCTGTCATGAAAACAAATTCCTCGTATGTGTAAACATACCTGGCAATAAAGCTCATTCTGATTCTGATAAAGTGATACGGTCTTTACGAATGTTCTCAAAACATTAGCACAAAAACAATATTTATACACTGTTCATGCAGAATTTTATTAAACAGTTTAGTTGCACATTCATTTAACGTTTTTAAATGTAGGGAACATTCAAATGTAACGTTCCCGTAATGTTTGTAAAATGATAAAAATGGAATGTTCACGTAACATTCAAGCAAAAACAAGCATTGTTTAAACATTTTTAAAAACTGAATGTTTTTAGAACATATTTTTGTTAGTTGGGTTCTTTTGGGGTTTTCCAAAGAACCTTCCAGTGAACAGGTCTTAAAGGGGTCATATGATGCGATTTCA